TGTGACAATAACAGACCTGGTCCCATATGTGGCGTCTGACCACCTTCTTCAGCATACAGGAAAAAAGCACTAGCTATCTTCATTTCTGGGCCTTGAAGTGTCAGAGTAAACAGCTTCCCTGTTTAAAGGAAATCAATTTCCACCCATCAGGTGCAGACTATGCAACAGCAATTACATCCAGTTTGGTAACTGGTAACTTTTAGCACACTGATTACTGGACAATACCTATTCATGATCTGTTCTCATTTAAAAATTTGAAGTCCATTTTTACTTAAAGAACTACAAATGCTAAACTAGGGCAGTAGTTATTTATTAGTTATTAATAGCTATAGTTATTAACAGTAATTAGTTATTAATAGTAACTATTTTTATGATTTTTTTTCAGTACCTATTTGAGGATGTTTACCTTTTTTTTCATTATTTGTATGTAGTTTTAGGTACTTTCAAGTATATAAATCAGTCATTATTTCTTTAATGCTAAATTATTTGTGGGTCAAAAGAAATCATTCAAATCCATTAAAAAATTAGATTTAGATATATGAAGAACTAAAAATTTTCTAGTCACAATTGTCATTTATCTTTCATTTTAAAACAAGGACTTACAGCAAATAATGTTTCTGAGCATCTCAGTTTTGAGACAGCCTTCATTATTGTGAAAATACATTTTACCCTTAACTGAAATAGTGAAATGCTGAGATGTCAAATTCTTGTCCTCTCATGCAGTTGTCGAATAATGCACTGTTAAACTTCTAAAATATCTCAACCATGACATGAGAGCATAAACCTCAACTTGGGAAGAAGTACCATTTGTAAATGGTGGTCAAGTCAAGTCAACAAAGTTTCCTTTTTGAAGTGAATTCTACAAGGTCAATATATAATATTGATTCTGGTCTAAAAGACTGAAGTTACTGTAGTGAGCAAAGGCAGTTGGAAACCATTGTGTGAATTTGGGAAATGTTGAAAAAATCTGCCAGTGCTGGTGGGAAAATCTCTTTGGCTTCAACAGAAGCCCTACCTTTGAGTAAAAGCAAGAACTTTCAGTGTTGATCTCTGAAACCAGTTTGTCCTGGACCACGAGCTTAGCTCTCACTTTCTCTATATTCCTTCCCTTGGCTCCTGAGCCAGATCTGCTAACAACAATGGTTGTGAAAAGCTGTGGCAGTATTTTAAGAAGTGAAAAATTTGCAGTGATTTGCAACACTGTTTATCTACTGGTTTCATTATCTGCCCAGTTACATCATTCTGTAACAATACAGAAAAAAATGCACTTTCCTGTTTCAGTCAAAGCACTTCATAAATTTTAATGCATTGAATCCTTAAATATCCTAAAGCATAGGTTAATGACATCCCTGTTTTAAAGTTGGAAAACACGGAAATAGACAAGCTAACATCAGCATTTTTCAAGCATCTGCAGACTGTTAGTCTCTCATCAAAAAATTAAAGTATACAAAATCAGTGACTTTTTTTGACAGTGAAGGTCATACTGGGTTGCAGTGCATAACTGTGGCAGTATCAGGAAAAGAAGAGGCGCACACCTTTGTCCTGACTTTTCTCTAAAGTCATTCTAGGACATATGAAAGTTATGAACATGTTATTAAATTGCCATCTGAAAAACCATGTGTGCTTTGAACATAGACAAATGTGAATTTACTCACAGTTATTTCATTTTCACTCTTAATAAAGCAACATATTAGCAAGGCTAAACCTGAAACTGTAGCCTTAAATGGACAGTCATCTGGCACCTAGAAGAGGCTGTAGAGAAAATAGTTTCTTTGTTCTGCTGACTGTGTTTTGACTGTAAATAGAAGAAGTCAAGAAGTGTGCTTCAGCTCATGGGCTTGTCCATTCCTGTTGGGCAGATAAGTAAAGATCCTCTGGTTTTTGGGCAAAACTCTTAAGCTTAGGAGAGCGCACTTACCCATTTCCCTGTCCCCATCTCCATCATGCTGAGGAGTGCTTCTATTTTAGTTTGTGTTTCCTTGTTCTAGAAAGACTGAAACTAACCCTAGAACGTGCTGCTGATCTTGGTGTCGTAACTAGAATAGAATAGAACAGAACAGAAAATAAGAGAAGACTAGGCTAGGCTAGACTAGACTAGACTAGAATAGAAGGTCTAAACTCAGATTTTTCGTCTGAGTAAAGCAATAACATCCTGAGGGGCTGAACAGGAAAACTTCGCTATAGTGAAGGGATTCATCTCCTTGGGAGACAGATTACTAACAACAAGTTTAGATAGTAGAAGGAAAGTTTTATACCAACAATTTTTGCTTTTACAGAGCTCAGACGTGCCAGGTACTGACTGCTTCATTCTTGGGGCATTTAAGTCCTGTTAAACTCCAAAGTGAGTTAGGGGAATTCAGCACTTTAAGAAATGATGCCCATAATTCTCCTCCACCTCCAGTTTTGAGCGACTGTGTGCATGTCATCCATCGTTAGCCAGGGGAACCCACAATCTGGACATGGGGAGGCTGCCATCAATGGCTCTACGATGTTGGCGTGACGTGTCCACCACAGTCGCCCGTTGCGACTGGGAAGCGGGACCCCAGGGTGCTGTTGCGTGCGGTGGGAGAGGTGCCGGGGCAGTGCTGCAGCCCGCACCACTGCCTCAACCTGGGGCTCACGCGGGTGGTACAGACCCTCGGCTGATGGGCAGTGGTGGTGGTTAGGTTTTGCTCTGTCAAAACAAGCAGCTTAACTCCTGAATCTTAATCACACCCCATTGCCTGCTTCTTTGTTTTTATCCCTGTAGGATTCTTCATCCTTTCAAACCAACAAAAATATCATATTTTGCTTCAGTTTCTGAAACCTCGTCACTTTTTCCAGACTTTCCATTTCACGCCGCTTGAATTTTATTAAGATCTCTTAACACCAAAGCAGAGTAGCAGCTATATGATGCCCTGAGGGAGCTGAAAGGCTGTTGCCATAATGTCGCAAAACTCTGGAGACATTTTATTTCTACCAGAAGCTCTTTGGTGGATTGTGGCTAAGGATATAAAATTTCTTAAATGTTTACAGCAGGGATCTTGATCTCCATTGGAATTTCATACAAAAGCTTTTTTTTTTTTAATCTATTAGTTGGCACATCACATTAATACTGATGAAGCAATACCTGTCTACAAAATGGATTGCATTTTCTTTACGTCTTGGGATGGCAAAGACTATTTTTATTCCAGAATTATGGATAATATCCATATGGATAATATCATGAATCATCTGTTCTTAAGACTATGACTTTCTTTTCAACACCTCAAATGATAATTACTAAGTATTTTCACCAGGTATTTTCCAGAAGCACCTCTATCTTATCTGTTTCTGCCTCCAATACTTTCTGTTCTTCCCAAACACAGCCGTGCATAAGTTCTTTATAGGAGGCTCATGAAAGCATGTCTCCTTCAGTGAACAGGCAAAGATTTTGTAAGTGTTAATAAGGTTTTATTTTCACTGGTCAGCCTTGAAATCAAAAGCAACTGCTGAACTCTCAGTAGTCTCTTATATAGCACAATAGTCCTGTTCAGATGAGTTTTGAAATAAAATTGTGTAGGAAGCTGTATTCTAATTTGATAAAAGATAAGTCTCATAAAAAAAAATTCCATTTTCAAAAAGCTGTAATATAATAGTGTGTGTGTGCATGCATGTAATATAGCAGGAGACATAGTTAAATGACTATTTAATTAAAACAGTATAGATCTATAGGTTCATTTGATGGGGAAATATTTTGTAAAATTTTAAGGTGTGAATAATCATACAGAATGAGATGCAAACTAAAGATATTGGTATTTAAAAAGCTGTTAGAATGTTAGACTATTCGGGACACAATTTTCTAAAATGCTTTGTAATTCTGTATACCTCAGGCTTTCTGGAGCCTGCTGAAGGTGCTGAGATATTAAAAAAATTAGATGGCCTTAAAAATAATGTAAACAACCAAAACATTAAAGGAATCTGGTATTTTAAGACAAATCAAAATCTTTCTATTGTTGAAGGATGTTATGCGTTAATGACTCAAGTCAGCAATTTTCTATCATCACAGATGAGTGAAAATCTTTACAGAAAGTATCAGACCAAATAAAAAGGATTTTTTAATTCCATTTCTAAAATTGCAAGAAGTCTATAAAAATACAGAAGTGAGACACTGATAATATAATGGAACTACTAATATAAATATGTTGAATTGCACCACTGTTTAACACCATATATATCCTCAAAGTAAAGGTCACTCAATAAATGTAACATTGTTGTCTGCTCCCATTTTCTGTATTTCCCAGCCCTCTTTGTCATTGCATTTACCATGTACCACTCTTTTTCCTCAGAACAATGCGACAGCGATATCACAGATAAGGGTAACAGCAATTGCTCTCTCAAAAGAAGAAATAAATTTTATTTCTGGTGGTTTTTTTCATTATTTAATCTTCTTATACTACATAAATACTGTTCCTCTTGTCAAATAGACTGAATGGCTTTTGTAATTATCAAGGTAGCTTTAGACACTGCCTCACATCAAGTACTAACAGACAGTTATAATTTAACCCTCTTAATGCTGTCTTTCAGTACTGCTTCTTGGTAGTGATTAACCATAATAGCATTTTTAATTGGTCAATGTTCTCTTAAAACGTCAACTTTTCAAAGTCATGATGTGCTATGTACTTCTGGCATCAATTGGTTAAGAGAATTATATTTAGCTCCCACTTACCAGTGCAGACATTTGAAACAATGCTGGAAATAGCTGACTGTATTACCTCAAGTTTTTATTCTATGATACAACTTCTTTTTTCACTATCCAGATGATGATTAAAACTGAATTTAAAGGTTATGTTCATGAAGTTCTGCACATCTCTTGGAATATGTCTCTCTTCAATGATAAAAATAACTGCAGATGTTTGGAATTCCAGAGTTTAACTGCAAAAGTCGGCATTTTCTACTGCAAGGTGTGCACTTTTTATAATAGATAAAAATTACACAGTACTCATCTTTTTTCCTTCCGTTCTTCTTAAATCTAACTGCAGGATGTGTGACACAGGAGAAGGGCTGTTCACCTTTCAGACACGAGAAGGAGAAATGATATATCAGAAAGTCCATTCTGCAACACTGGCAATAGCAGAGCAACATGAAAGATTAATGATGGAGATGGAGCAGAAGGCAAGGGTAAGTTCCTTTCACCAAAATCTTTAAACTTATAAAAATTGATAATGAGCAAAAGAAGTACGGAGTAATGCCAGTCCATGGTTCAGCTGCAGTGATGGTATTAGCTGTGTGGCTAAGACAAACAGACTTTTGGATTTATGTATTTTCATGGTCAGGGATTTTCAGCATGTGCTATACAAAGATCTGTTGTTGGTGTCTTTTTCAAACAGTGGGTACCATTAAACGCAAAATCCATGGTTACCTTCTTGAAAAGTTCAAAAAGAGCTATTTTTTTAATTTAAAGTTCAGAATTTCCAGTTTGCATAAGTTATCTTTAAGTGACTACTGGAGTTTTTTAAGACAGAAAGGAAAAAAAAAGTGTTCCCTGTATACTTAGAAGTAAAGGTGGTCTTAAATGATCATTCTGGAAAGCTAACTTTCAGCTGTGGTTTGAAGCTACCTTTATGTCCACCAGAGAAGAAAGATACGGGGAGGCCAGGGAACCTGGTCTGCATGCTTTTCTTCTCAGATGACCACAATTCTCCACGTACCTTTGTCCCTAGAAAGAGACTTGAGGGTAATTGCACCATTTCCAGTGACTCCCTCATCCTTCCTTCCCTCACCCACCATGTACGTGGCCACAGTCATGCAAGTGTGACTTACGTGATCCTCTCCCCCCACACTCCATCACTGTCAAAATATCTTGCTCACACTCCTAAGAGAAGGGCTCTTGCAAAGGGCAACTTAAGACCCCAGTGTTCAACTCTTTCTCCTAATTACTCCTCAGATAAGTCTTTCTTCCTTTATTTACTGAAAAAGAAACTTGAAAAAGACTTAGATTTCTATGTCAAAAGTCTGCTATGTTGAATGCTCCCCTCAGACTCTGGATGTCTCTAAGATCCGAGATGGGAAGCCATAAAAAGTGACCTTTTTGGTGGTTTATCATGAAAGGTAGATGAGCTTTCTGATAAAACTAGACAAAGTAGGAGCATTTGCATAATAGTTGAGATGCACGAACTTTAGACAGAAAAAAGCAGGAAGAGGAGAGTTCACAATCAAGATTAAAATAAGATTAGGGACACAGGAGCAACTGCTGAAAAGTCCAAGACAAGATGATAGAGTAAATGGAAGAGCATCTGAAGTAGTAGAAGTGCTGGCAAAAAACCCTACATTCTGGTGAGCAGAAAGTGATTGAATAATAGTCCAAAACCAGGAAAAAGCATCATTATAAATATGTTTGCTCTTAAATTGTCTACCCCAGTAAGAGAGATAAGAGCATTTTCATGCTGCTGTAATAAGAGCTAAGACCAGGATCATACAGGTTTTTCCTTTTGTGGAACCACCACTTTCAGGTCTTCCACCTAGCAAGTAGCAGCTTTGGTGCTTAGCAAAGCCGTTTCCATTCTGCCATCAGGTGACTTCCCTGAAACCTCGTTTATGAAAGCTGTGGCCATATTGTACATAATACCAAATTGAGAGCAGGCTGAGAAACAGAACTGACTCATCAGCCAAGCAGTGTATGATGTACTTGGCTCCTGGATGAGGCTACGCTGTGATCTGCAGAGGGAGGTCGGTAGAGACCTGCTGTAGGCTGCCGTAGGCTGCTGAGAAGCTGCGAGCTGTGTAAAAGAGGCTGAAAAGTCTGTTGATCTTATATTTCAACTAGTAAGCTAATGTTGGTTTGATTTTGGAAGCTTGGCTGCTCCTGACTGATGGGGTGCTGAACATTTAAGGGGTCATCTGTGTCACCTGCAGCATTTGAGTTGCATTCGTATTAGAAACAAAATCTGAAGGTATTAAGTAGACTAAGTATATATTATTTTTCTTTTATCAAGTATAATTGCTTCTCCGATATCTAAATCCCAGTTTCACCAAATGCCTATGTATATTTTTCACATAAGATCTGAAATTGAAATACAAGCAAGAGTATATTTTTAAATAGGGGATCTAGAGGCCATAAATGTCTTTTAGGTCTTCACAAAGCTTGACCTTTGATCCTCTGCATCTATAGCTCTATATTTGGGGTTTTTTTCTCTTTTCTGACCCTTTCTGTAAAGAACAGCTCATGTTTAATATTACAGAATTAAATCTTCCTTCTTTTGTAAAGGTGAAAATGAAAGAAATTTTTTAAAGTGAAGGAAGCTTAACGGTATATCCGTTATTATACAAATCAGGAAAAGGGAAGAAACGTAACGGTAATTCCATCTTTACTTCTTCCTTCCAATCATTAGAAGGTATAAATTGGAAAGGACTCTTGAATATTTGTGTGTTCTGTCCTACATGTTAACATATTTTAAGTATTTAATACACTGAAGTTTCATTTACATTTTTCCAGGTTAGAATAGGTTGTAATCCAATATTATAAAAAGTGAATACAGTTTATAAAGGAAATAAATGTGCATTTTTTACCAAAGCAACCTTGATGAAGTACATAGATTATGGTTAGTTCTCATAATGAATATACAAAGTACATCACTTACTGATAAAAAAAGCAAAAAGACACAAAACACACCAACAGAAAAAAAATTCTGGCAGAAGAGAAAAGGTAAAATTAGTTACTGCTGCCAGAGACTTCTCAGATAAAGGTACCACAGGCAGCCACAGGCCACATTACTCCATTTATGGAGGTCCCGGCACACAAAAATGCTGCTTTGGAATACTAAGCAATAAATTCATTTTTATGCTAAGAAAACTATTACTCAAGCCAAGTAATGTGCTGGGTAACTCTGTTAATAAGAGAGAGACACGAGAAGGAAACTAAGTCTTCCCATTACCTCCGAAAGGGCATGGACTGGAAGCAAAATTGCTCTGTGGCAGCTAATACAGTACCAAATCTGCCTCACTGTCATCACAAGCAGGGGAAGTTCAGTCAGTTTAAGTAGGCAGTCACGTGCACGCTTTTGTCTTCTGCACATTTCCCTTTCAAATTATAACACTGGAGGAAGGACCTGAAATACAGGATCAATAGTCCCTGGCATAGGTGTGGTTTCGAGTTGATTATTGGTTTTACTGTGACGAAAGCAGACTGGATTTTATTCAAATACTATGGCAAAGTGGACATTGATCTAATTTAGCTCAGGTGGTCTTCTCGATTGAGTTTGAAACGTTGAATTGGCAAAGTGATAGTGTTTTATGCTCACTTTGTTTGGGACGATAGCAATTGGGGCCAATGCGAGTAATTAAATCGAAATTCTTTTCAGGAAAATTGTTATCTGTATGTTCACTTTTTTCATTCTTTGCTTTTTTAATGGATCAGTGTAATACAGATGATAATTTTTGTTTGCGGGTGGTTTTTTGAGGGGAAGGGGCAATATGGGAGTGTTTTGTTAGTGGTTTTACAGTATCAACCCAACAAATTAATTGAAATGAACAATGCCTGGCTTTCTATTTACAAGATTTTATTTAGTGCTGTTGCATTATCAATACGAGAGTGTCATCAACTCTGGTTTTATCATCTGAATAGTCTGCATTCTTACATACCTCTTGTCTTGCACACACGTACACACCACCCCCCGTTCTGTTTTTAAATGTAACATTTAGAAATCTGGTTGGACTGGCAGTCCTGGAATTACCCCCCCACAAAAAAAAGTGATAGCCTCCACAATAACATGTATCCCCACTAACTGTAGTCTGATGTTGAGCATGGAAGTTGCATGTCTGAGTGTCTAACAGCCAGCTCTTCCATCCCTCCCTGTCCCCGGGCTGGGCTGCAAGCTCCCTCTACTTCCCTTCTGTTCGCTTGGGTGCTTATCTGACTCAGGGAGTCAATTCAGCTTGCTAATTTGGCAAAAAAAAATTAGCTAAAAGGAAGACAGTTCTGCAGGGTTACTGAGCTGAATTGGTTTACAGAGGCACCAGTGAACAATCAGATCTTCCCAGTTATCCCATCCCAAGGAGAGAAGGAAAAAGAATAATTCACCCTTCGTAAATGCTGAGTATCCTTCTTGCAATCAGTAGATGATGTTGGTTTTGGTGATCTTGTTTTAAAGGATCTCAGTGAAGATAATTTTCACACAGCAGCATATGAACACAGTTGTTCTCAGCAGCACTTCTCTATCTAACCTCTACACCGGGATGACAACGTGCTGACTGTTGCATGGCACTGGAATTTGAGACCTGATTTTCATCCGTAATGCCAGCTTTGGTCTTTTGCCTCTCACCCTCCACTGAAAACAGTCCCGATGTAACTTCTGCACCCACTGTTGTTTGAGTGTATAAAATGGGGGGTTGAGAATTGTAGATCTCCGATTACGACTACAAATACAAGGGAGGCATGCTAAGGAAATAGTCGTACCTTTGTAACCTTATAAATCACTTCTTTCAAGAGCTGCCAGTAAAAACCTATTCTGTAATCTCAAAAGAATAAAAATTTACAATGTATAAAACTAATTCTAAATAAGAGAGCACTTGATGTTAACCAGCTGAAGGTAATCAGACATCAGTAAGACTGAAGTATAAATGCATGAACAAATGATAATGGTGCAAGTTCCATAACATTATCACAGGAAATATTCTATGACACTTGTTTTGCTTTAGACAGAAGAGCTGTAAAAATAATGTCATTTTAGATTGTGATCCTTTTAACATTTACCAGAAGATAAACACCTTTATGAAACATTGCATCTGTATATTTCTCTTCCATTCTCATTATTTACAAGTCTTGTCTCTAATATTCAACTTAATATAAGTGAATGAGTCATCATGATAGATTTCGGTCATTTAAAAAAGATAATATCAATGAGTATATATATTTTTTTTTTTAAAAAAGTTGTTAGGAGGGAAATAATGAATGTGCCAAAGACAAATATCAGGCAATGGAACTGGGCTTAAGAAGAGGTTGAAGAGGAAGGTGGCTAAGAAATAAGCCTGTGAGTTATTTAATCTTTCTCTTTATTATCTGGAACAGAATGAGAAGGGTAACAGTATTTCACAGGACTGGTCTGAGAATAAATATAAAGGACAGGGTTGTCAGGCATGGTATTAATAAGAATGTAAATAGAATAAAGAATATCGATGTAAAT